GTTCACCCGGTCTAGCCATTGCAGTCTGCTTTTTTTCGTCTGTTTTACTTTGTTCTGTTTTGCCTTTTAGTTTGTGTTCCAGACTGGTTGAGTTGTAGCCTGTTTTATTTAGTTTAGCCGGTGTTCGGTATTCAGTTTCAGTCTGTTTTTTTGTTTGTTGTAGTAGTTTAACCCGTTTTTGGTACTCGTTTTCAGTCTGTTTTTTTGTCTACTGTAATTTGAGTTACCCATTTTTTTCTTTTTAGTTTGCTTCATTCTGCAATGCTGCTGACAGGGTGGTGTGTGGCAGCAGGGTAGGTCTGACGGAGGACAGTGTCGAAGTATAGGGGCAGGAGGACGGAAGGAGTCTCCACTGGTGCCCCCCAGTGGCTCCTCCCGGAATCCTGACTGGACACAGGGTCAGAGAGGGAGATGAGGATCACCAGCTTTCAGTTCCAGTGCTCGGGTCACGACCACACCTGCTCAGTCAATCCTCTGGATTCCAGATCAATCAATGCTGGCAGGCACCCTCCAGACACCATCTAATTCTCCTTCAATAAAAGAGAGAGAGAGAGAGAGACTGGGGTTAGACCATGGCTAGACAAGGGAGGAGGGAGCCAGTATGCAACAGTAGACATCTGACGCAGAAATCAGGGCGAAGAGGCTCTCCCCCTGCTCAGTCAATCCCCTGGTCCCCAGGGCAATCAACACTGGCAGGCTTTTTCCTACGTTTTTTTTCTGATGTGTATTCTCATCAGGGACGCTGGACCCGTTTTCCAGCAGGTGATGCTCGCCACCAATAGCTCTTATCAGCATCGCTAGCACTGGAGGGATCTTTCAAAAAAAAAAAAAAAAAAAAAAAAAAGTGTGGTCCTCTCTCCAGCGCTACTTACCATCCTCCTCAACCAGTTGGGAAAAGTCATAAAACCTCCCAGCGACGAAACCTTTGTATCCATTTGCTGCAGGCCCCAAAGTCACTTTCCGCGTCATTTGTGCACCCTGCAAAACACTTTCCCCCATTTTTACACTGCGGCCGTTACCGGCCCAGCCAGGGTGCAAAATGACACCAAAAGTGATTTTGGGACCTGCGGCACTTTTTTCCCCGTTTGGGGGGACATGGATACAAAGGTTTCGTCAAGGGGAGGTTTTATGACTTTTCCCCAACCAGTTAGTGTGTGCGCGCGCGTGTGTGTGTGTGTGTGTGTGTGTGTGTGTGTGTGTGTGTGTTTGTAAGTGCCTTTGTGCCTGTGTGTGTGCGAGTGTGTGCGTGCGTGCGTGGGCACTCACGTTTCCCGAGTGTTCTTGTGCTTCTTTCGTATGTGCTCTGGCCCTCTTGGTACTACATGCTCCACTGCCGTTCCCTACTTATCAGGGGCTTGCCTCCTTGTTTTCTTCTCCTGCTCCCCAACCGAACCCTCTGTCCCTCTGTCCTCCTTTGTATTCTAGCGTTTTTTTCTGTAACTTCTGGGGGTGCATAATAACGGAAGGCAGTGTTGACGTCTCCTGGCTGACCGTCGAGTACGAGAGCATAGCAACTGCAGAGTCGCAGGATCTTCTAGCACTGCAATTCGCACAGACAGAGAAGACAACATTAATACGGCTGATGTCGTCTGGCAATCCTACCCCTTCTCCACGCATCATCACGTTGGCATTTAGCAATGGCATATTAACGTTACGTACCATACGAGACTTCCACAAAGATTCTGAGAACATGAAGCCAGAAGATAACGAAATCCAAGGACCATATATTTAAGTCCAGCCACTCCGTTCTGTAATACGAGGAAAGATACGAAGCGAGATCAATTACACAGGGTATAGGAGTGAGGAAAGGAGGAATTCTTAGAAAGCATGTCACGGATGATAGACTACACCCGGCGGGAATAGGGAAGAGGGGAGGGTGAGTGGGGAAAGGGAAGGGAAAACAAAAACGAGGAAGAGATAGGGGAAAGCGGAGGGATACTGCAGGAGCAAAAAGGAAGAGGGAAGAAGGAGGAATTAGAAAAGTAAAGAAACCACGAAGATAAGGCAGGCTCGAACTTTGTGCTGAACTTTGTGATGCCAAGGAAGGAATTATGCATGATTCGAATCTGTATGCTGGGAGAGGGCAGATGCAGTCAAGCTGTACTGTCAGCGTACTCATGAATTCCAGCCGTGATCATAAACGTTACCTTAATTTGGAATTATCGTTCTGTGTGTAGGTTGATGGGGGAGCATCGTTTGGACATTCAAGAGCAATCTTTTCGGTTCGTGAACATCCTAATCCAGGACAAGCAAGAAGAAACTTAGGGGGAAAAGCAGGTAAGAAAAGCTTTGCGTTAAGCGGACACCGGACGATCCTGACCGTTGATTAATCCGTTCACCATGCTAGCCAAGCAGCAGCCTTGGGAGTAGAGCGAAAATAGTGGGGAATCATCAACACAAACCAGCTCGTCAACAGGGGATGCAGTTTAATCCCGTGCTAGCCAAGCAGCAGCCTTGGGAGTAGAGCGAAAATAGTGGGGAATCATCAAGTTGAACACAAACCAGCTCGTCAACAGGGGATGCAGTTTAATCCCGTTTTTTCTTGGGAAAAGCCGTAAAACCTCCCCGCGACCAAACCTTAGTATCCATTTCACCCCAAACGGGGAAAAAGGTGCCGCAGCCCCCAAAATCACTTCCGGGGTCATATTTGCACCCTGCAAAACACTTTCCCACCATTTTGACACAGAGACCAGTGACCACTACCAGCCCAGCCAGAGTGCAAAAATGAAACCAAAAGTGATTTTGGGACCTGCGGCACTTTTTTCCCCTTTTGGGGGGAAATGGATGGATACAAAGGTTTCGTCGCGGGGTGGTTTTATGACTTTCCCCTTTTTTCTTTTCTGGCTTTGCATGTTCTTTTACTTCTCCTTTTTTCTTTTCTATATTGACAAAAAAAATTCTTGATTGAGACGCAACAAACGAAACAGATCAAAGGACCAGTAGAGTCATCCCTGGAACCAAGTCCCACGCACTGCGAGCGTGACCACCTAGTTCTCGAGCATTTGTCGAAGTGGCCAAAGTATGAGCACGAGATTTCCAGACCGGACGGATCTGAACGACCGGGGGCTCGAGAACTGGTAGATCCCGCCACCTGTGGGGGCTCGCTGCCGTTTCTCCAGCTCCTGACTTGTTGGATCTCGCATTCGCAGCCGTCTGTGTGCACAATTCATGCTTTCCTGGAGTGCATAAGAGTTGCAATCCCAGCCAGGGGCGACGTCACACTATGCTTAGCGTGCCGTCTATGATCGTCTGCATGTACACGAAGGGGATAATTGGTGGAAAGCGCCCACTGGGAGATCTCTACAGAGTCTACACATAGTCTCGCTTTAATCAATCACCTGGATTGCGAGAGAGACTTTTCGGACGAGCCATCGCCCGATGCGTGATCTTATCATCTCCACAACAGTTACTCAGGTTTCAGCTCCGACTTCTTTCCACTCTTCTGAAATGGAAACTTACATGTACTATGCTACCGAAGCCGCTGTGCCGCTTGCCGGCTATGACGCGGAAATCAGCGAAGATGGACGGTCAGGGTCAAAAAGCACTTCGGCAGCTTGGAGATCGCCGCAGTGGGACCGTCCCGGTTGCATTGATTCGTCATAATATCTGTAATGGTTGATTAAATTTTGTGTGGCGATCTCCACGGTGAGAAATGAAGAATCAAGGTATGTGAAATCTCATCCACAAGCATGCCAGTGGGTGAATGGGTCTTTTCAAGCGACAAGCAAAACGGACAAGAATGCCGAGGAACGAAGAAACGAACGAGATGGGGGGAATAGTGCAAAACACGGGCCCGACAAATGAAAGAGACAGAAACGAGATCAGAGAAAACGAGCAATTTGAACGAGCCATCAAGCATGGCGACAAACTCTTACGTAGGAGAAGGGAGAGACGACTCCCGAAAGGCAATCTTGAACTCTTCTTCGGGTGGAGGGGGGGGTTTGGGGAGGGCGGCGAAGGGGAGCAGGAGGGTGGGTGTTTGGCCTGGACGAGGAGAGGGATTTTCGGCAAGTGAGCAAATTGGCAAAGAAAGCTCCGGGACGATGCAAGGGTGAAAGCAAAGAGGATTAACAGGACGACACGCGCAAACCAAGAAATGTTCCACAAAATGGAAAAACGAGAGGTCGGTAAGTCTTTCTCCATGACAACAAATAAGATTGAGTAACACTGTAAAGCACAAAGGTTGCAAATTGAAGCAACGCTCTGAGAGCATGCGAGCAAAATCTCATTCCGCGAAATTCGAAATCCTAACACTATATGATAACACTTAGTCTTTGAAAACTTTCTCCTCGTTCTCCTGCACGACAATATTTCGGCTACACCAAGAAGAAGGAGATAAAGGCAGTCCCCAGCATCAGATCAAGAACACCAACACAAGGAAAGGGGGGGCGGAGGGGAGGCAGAGGGAGTGTGTGTGTGTGTGTGTGTGTGTGTGTGTGTGTGTGTGTGTGTGTGTGTGTGTGTGTGTGTGTGTGTGTGTGTGTGTGTGTGCGTGCGTCACAGAGAGAGAGAGAGAGAGAGAGAGAGAGAGAGAGAGAGAGAGAGAGAGATGCTTCGGCTAAGCTGTCTGGGATGTCGTTGCTCCCGCATCACTGACGGAAGGTCTGTAGACTCAGTGGACATTCTACTACTAGATTACCTCCCACAGCTACGATTATGCAGTAATACAAAAACTTACAAATGCAATCGGAGAGTTTTGATAAGAAGAGATGTCCTGATATAAACAGATCGTCACTACGGATCCTCGTCAAGTCGCACAGACTCCATTGGTCATCCTACGGAGCCAGTGTCACCTCTTGTTTCCCCCTCCTGGTCCCCCATAACCTCACGCTCTTCTCCGCAGTTCCTCGGGCCAGCCTGCGAGGGGATACTTCTGAGTCCTCCGGGTATTCCTTCGACTATCCATTCGAGGGCCGTACCCACACTGGGACTCCATCACCCCATGCACATTCAGCCAAGGAAGTCCTTGGTGTGAGTATGGCCTATGGCCAACCCTAGCCGCTGGCAAGCTGCAAAGCTGACGATGTTGGATCGCCGCCCGGAGCTTAGCACGACTCCCAGATGATGGCGAACTCCTGCGTTAGCTTGGGATCGTCTTCATCGCCCCCGGTGACGAGTCCAGCAGCCAGCCGCACTTCGGATCTGAGGTTGAGGTCTCTGACGACGTTGCACTCGCTGTATAGCAGCACATTGAACCTGTCCGTGAACTCGAATTCAGCATCGAAAGGGCCGGCGATGACACGGCTGGCTCGAGCCGTCCCTGGTGTCCCGGAGATATAGTAACTGGTCGCGGCGATCGCTGTCATGCCCGCGTCCAGCTTGGCGTACCCGCGAATGGTGACCGTCCCCAAGTGGAAGCGGAAACCTGGCGGATAACTCAGTTTGACCGTCACCGCGCAACTCTTCCTCACAGCATGCAAGGGAGGGTCTGGCGACGCAGTGTACTGGCTGATCATCATAGTGATCGCTTCTCCGTCATCCGATACTGCCCCCTGCGCAGACCCTGGCGGGCAGCCATCACCTGCGTAAGTGAAACCCAAGAGCTTCACCGTACCCGGTTCCGGAGATGCAGCTTGTACATGAATAGCCGACGTTAGGAATGCGAGCAGCAGCAGGGCCGGCACGGTGGCAACAGAGGGGACTGGTGGGAACCCTCGTTGCGCCATTGTGATCAGCTTCGACGTCTAGCTTCTTCTTCTTTACAGGCAGGCGGGAGGAAGTCTTCGTTTTCAAATTTTACAGCAACCTCTACAACCACCTCCACATAGACGAAGGCCACCGTCTCGAGTGAGTGCTGGTGTGCAGGTGTAGCCGTGCTCTCGCTCCTCTCCACGGGCAGCGTGCCGAAAAGAGAGACCCCTTCCCACTCTTCCTATCTGGGCTACGAATACGTGACACACTCTGCGCTAGCAACCTCTGAATCACCCGCTACGCATTCCAGCCCCGCTGTTCGGGCCTTTATGCACAGCAGCGTCCGACCCCACAATTCTTACGGTAAGTAAAAAGGAGAGCTGGACCCCACTGCCTGGTGGAAGCTTGCCAAATGTTCTTACGGTAAGTAAAAAGGAGAGGTGGACCCCACTGCCTGGTGGAAGCTTCCCAAGTCATTGGCAGCATTTTCGAAAGCTTTGCCGCAAAGCAGTGGGGTCTCACAAATCGTCTTCCAAAGCTTTGACGCAAAGCAGTGGGGTCCACCGCTTCCGCAGATGTAGGGAGCTGCTCAACCAGACTGGCGGCCTCACGCGGCGTTGTGGAAACGTTGATGTCCTGTCCCTTTGTGGAAACGTTGATGTCCTGTCCCTTAACCCCACAGGAATGCGGCAAGGAAAACTTTTGCCGCGGAATTGTTTCCGGGACCCCACATGCCCCGGAAAAGGTCGTGGAAAGGTTTGGTTTACTCCGCGGAATCATTCCGCGGGGCCCCACAGGCCACGGAATGTGGCGTGGAAAAGCTTCCGAAACCGTTTCCACATGGTCTGGGGCATGGAAAAGTGACGCGGGAGGGATTTCCGCCGCAATTTTGTGCCGACTCTCAAACGTTGGGGGGCGGTGCATCTCGAAGGTTTCCAAGGTCTCCAGCTCAGGCGGGAGTAGAAGATGTCCGAGCGGCCTACACTGTCGTCCCCGAAGTCGCCCTCCAACGGACATTGGTGGTACATAGGCTCCAGGGGCGGTCACTAGGACGGACCACCACTTTCCATTTCGGGATGGCACCCCGGGCACATTTCCTATTACGGAAAGTTCAATCCGCATTCTGCCGCAAAACGGCCTCCGCTGTGGGGTCCCCGCAGAAGGCTTTCCAAACTTGCCAAGACTCTTCCGACGGCCATTCTGCGGAAACGTCTTTTCCAAAGGAATTCCTGTGGGGTCCAGGCCTAAGAAGCACACGGTGAAGAAAAAGATTGCGCCATCTTGGAAAAGAACTGGACCCATGCCCTCTCCCCTACACGAAGGCACATTTTTGGTGGGAGTTCTTTTTTGTGGGAATGCAGAGCGAACATGGCGAAACCTGGTGGGGTCGTTCTTCATGATGTCTCGGATAATGCTGTGCCCGATAACGATGACAGTACAGAGGTTCATGGTGATTCGGCTACTTCATAGTGTCATACCCACTGCTTTATGGAATTTACTTGGTTGGTGCCTTAGGGTCTCGCTCCACTACTGTCCACTGTACAATTTTTCGGACAGTTGGTGGACAGTTGTCAGAGCGAAAAATTGTTCAGCGGACAGTGGAAAATGCGACATCGCTCCACTTACTGTCCGCTGTCCACCTCTCAAATTCGTGACGCCACTACCGACGCAGTGATGGAACTACAAGACAGGGCGTCCGAAGGATTTTGTCTGCCCGGACTCTAGGTGCACTGTCCAAATTCGGGTCCTCACGGTGAGTCCCTTGAAGGACTTTCCACTAAAAGAATTTTGCAGGCTGGGAGCTGTACATTCACGTACAGTAGATTTTCGACGGGGTTTCTAAAGACTGTCCAAGCCATTTTGCACATGTACAGTGGACAGTAAGTGGAGCGAAGTACCACTGCCCGTTTTTGTACAGTGGACAGTAGTGGAGCGAGACCCTTAGACTAAGGTCTCTTTTCCCTGACTGGCTACGCTGCAAACAATGGACTACATTGATCTGTGTGGTGTTTATTCTTTGGGAAAATTTTTGTGATGCCCCTGAAATTTCCATTAATTTGCGGCATGCCCCTCTGACTGCCAACTTACCCTGTCGCGCCCCTCTGACAACGAATGATGTTTCCAGAAAAAAAACCTGGTGTCTTTTGGGCCTGAAACATGTACTGCTCCCAAATTTCCAGTATGCCCCTACCGGTACCGAGAATCTTTCCAGCATGCCCCTGTGGCTGTTGTTGACACTCTCGGCCTTTCCCCTGGCCCCGGGAGAGGATCTTTCTGCCGTGCCCTCTCTCTCTCTTTTTTTTTGGGGGCAAGTACGTTTATATCACCTTTTGGTTTCGAAAGGAAAAAATGGCTGTAGTTTGAAAAGGCAGAAATAACAGCAAAAGGCGGTAACATCAGGCCCCGAGTTCGAAAAGGCAGAAATACCGCATTTTGTAGGCCCTTTTTTTTTTTTTTTT